CCCCCCCCCCCCCCAATCTTCCCTTGTGCGGCTTTCAGAGGTGTCGAGTAAGTACAAATAGCCTACTTTGTTACGTTACTAAAGTAGAAATTTTGGTTATTTATACTTTCTGTTCTGTCTTCTTCTGAAAGGATGTTCTGAACTGTAATTTCATTGTGCTCTGAACAATGACAATCAATGTCTAATCTAATCGAATTAATACCATTGCTAACTAATAAAACATAGTTTATTTGTTGTTTACTCATAAAAAGGAGTTTAATTTACTAATAAATATAGTTTATTTGGTATTTACGAATAAAAACTCAGTTTATTGGTTAATTACTAATAAAATGTAGATTATTGGTTATTTACTAATAATCTATTGGTTAATTATTAGTAAAACATGCACATTATTGGTAAATAAAACATAGTTTATTGGTTATTTACAAATACAACTACGTAGCTTATTGGTTAAATCAGGGGTGCCCAAACATTTTCCCCGAGGGGGCCAAAATGAAAATCTATCCAGGGCTGCGGGCCAAATGCAGTAATATAATACATGAAATACAAATACTTTTTAAAGTAAAGTCCTTTATTTTTAACAATTAAGCTGTGCAATGGCCCTCTTTTGTTTTAGTTTGTGCACTTGGAGAAAATCTGCCATTTGCTCAAGTAGCAAAGGCTCATGGGACATATCATAAATTGATAAAATGAGTTTTTGTGGCCTTATAAAGTGTGCAAATCTACATGTGGGGTTGAATCTGATCTAAAAATTTCTTGTTGTCATTTCATGTTTTATTATTATGTTTATCCCAATAAATCAAAGATAAAGTCAGCACCATGAATGAAAACTACCTTCACTACAGCCCTTTTATATAGTCATTTGACCGATGGAAATACTGTGTTTCTACCTATAGGATAACAGGTACAACCTTGTAACTTTGGCAACTGTTGGTGGGCCAAATCAAATGGCTTGGCGGGCCAAATTTGGCCCGCGGACCCCACTTTGGGCTCCTCTGGGTTAAATAAAACATGTTTATTGCTTATTTACTAATAAATCTATGTAGCTTATTGGTTAATTGTCCTCTCTGCAGATGATTTCAGCGTACAGATCATTGTCTTTGAACAGCAGGTAGCTCCTCAGCCTGTTGGGCAGCACCATGGACCTCAGCCGGCTGCAGCTCACGTGTCTTCTTGTCTCCACTCTGCTCAGGTGAGACAGAGACCGAGGGTTACCTGCAGAACACACAGCAGCTGTTGCAACAAAAAATACTGCTTTCATGTAAAACATTGATTCTATGGTTTTAACTCACTTATGATGTTGTGAATTTGAGGCCACTCCTCGTGTTTCTTCAAGATTTTCTTCAGTTTCCCACAAAGAGACACTTGTCCAACGTACTGAAGGAGGACCAACACAAACCTGCCCACCAGGTTCACCAACCAAGAGACACTGACAAAATCACAGAACTGTGGACAGAAACGCATGTAAATACACAACCTGTTCAGACATATCTGAGCAGAATTTAAATTCATATAAGAAAAAATTGTGCATTTTCTACTGAACATTTAAATACCTGTTATAAAAATAATTCAGTTCAGTTTATTTCATATGGCTTCATCTCAAAGTGTCTTTATTTATTCGGTCTGAACTATAGAGAAACATACAGGTCCTGTGTCAAACAGAAAGTTTGATCAACTCCAGGAATATAAATAAATATGACTAAACTTAAACTGAGCAAAAACCAAGTGTTCAATTCAATTAATTAAATTAAAACTTGGTTCAAAACAAAAACTAATTCAGAACTAAAAATCTCCCATCTGTTCATTTTCTGTACGTTTCTCCTCTTTAAGGATGTTATGGAAATTTTTGTTCTGTGGGAGGAAACTGATGTTTGATGTAAACCTTTTTCTTTAAAGGCACAGTGTGTTGGATTTGTTGTTTTCAGCGACATCTAGTGGTTGAGTGGTTGAATCATCCTCCCTGGTCCTCCCCCCACCCCCACCCCCCGCTTCCAAACGCAAAGGAGTTGCTACGGTGTCTCTCAGGTGTCAAAAACCTTTGATAATTCCAACCGCGATGTCTACCAGCAGCTTCAGGGCTAGTGATGTTTCAAGTGGTAAGATTATGAGCTTTAATAAGTAAAATTATCCCAGCTACAATGACAGACAACAAATATTACATTTATAGTATTATAACTAAAACCGTTTTTGATGCCACCACTGCAGTTTGTCCTTCATGAGCCTTCGTAGACAAGATGGCGGTGCAAGATGGCGGCTGCCTGTAGTGGCGACCCGCGACCATGGAGATATAAACAGCTTTTTATAAGGTAAAAATAATAAAACAAGGTCTTTGTCTGCAATGATCAGACATGTTTTTATTATTGTCATTAGTGATTATCTCAATTTCGGCTAAAAGAATTGACAAAATCCTACACACTGTGCCTTTAAGTAGAAAACTTTTATTATTATTAATTAGCTTTTTATAATAAATTGTAGATGAATATAAAATGGTAAAGAGTTATTACTGGAATGATTACCGGCACCTGGATCTGACCTAAATCTGGATTTGTTTTGACTACATTTGAAGATCTGATTTAAACAATTTATCAGTGGTGAACAAAGTACTCAACTCTAGTACTTGAGTAAAAGTATTGATACTCGGGGTCAAATCTACTCAACTACAAGTAAAAGTTACCAGTCAGAAATCTCAAGTTAAAGTACTGAAGTACTCACTTCTGAAAATACTTAAGTATTCAAAAGCACATGCATTTAAAAATACTCAAGTATTCAATAGTTCAAATTAAAATGTTGAATATCAGTACACTGTTGTATTGTTTTCAGAGTAATTTTAAAGAACTGCAACTCTCAGATCCACCTGATGTATCGACACGTATAGTAGACAAATTCACCACCTGTAAAGACTTCAGCAATAAAGGGAGTGGTGAGTTCTTAAATGCAGAAATGTAGTTTATCCACGGTGAACACAGAAGACGTTTAAACTGATACAAACTATTTTTCAGTCCTAAAATCTCAAACATCGAGCTGAGATTTTGCCATCAAGCTGGTTTCTCTACTCTCTTCAACCGTCTCCATTGCTGGGTTCTGTTTGAAATGAAGGTGGAGCTCAGCGCTGTCCTAGATGTGAGCTACGACTGTGATTGGTTCCCCTTGTGAGGGACATAGTGTGTGGCCAATTAGAAAGAAAAACAGAAATAGCTACAAAGCTATGCTGAGCCAAAAGCAACAAGTAACTAAAAGCTTCCTAGAAATGTAGTGGAGTAAAAAGTACAATATTTGTCTTTGCGTTGTAGTGGAGTGAAAGTAATAAGTACCCCAAAAAAATCATTTCTCATGTAAAGTAAAGATACACAAAAAATATACTTAAATACAGTACTCAAGTAAATGTACTCCATTACTGTCCACCACTGATGGTGGCCATGTTGGATTTTGAAGTAGCAATCATATTTTTGACACCTCTCATACTGTCTGCAGCCACACATTTAATCTGAGCCTCACTTTTATTCAAGTTATTCAGAGATTTCCACTTCCTCTCTTTCTTCTGTGACAGAAAACTGAACTAAATCACATAAATGAATGAATAGATGACTCTATAATTTTGAAATTTATTTTTAGCTGCAGAATTTTGAATCTTTAATCAGTGAATTTGGCTGAAAATGTTAGATATTTAGTATCTGAACAGTGGTCAGAGCTGTTGGCTTTCAGCGAGATATTCACAGAATCTCAGCCCAGACCTTACTGACTTTAGGAATTAAACCAGCCTGATTGCTTCCTGCATTTGGTTTTCACTTCGCGACTGATCATTGATGCAGAAAGTTGTTTGTTTTCTGCTGAATGTCATCAGATGATCCAGAGAGGAGGTTCACCTGCTGAATGTCTCTCTAACATGTGACTGAGCCTGTCTTACATGATGCAGTCAGTCAGCAGCTGATGTCTGATGAAGCTGAAGCTTTTGTCTACAGACTGACCTTCGTAACTCTTGAACAAGAATTAAAAAAAGGAACAAAAAGAAAAAATAAAAAAGGTCCTCTGGATGGGTTCTTCTTTAGTGAAACGTTTCGTCTCTCCTCCAAGAGACTTCTTCAGTCTGAGTTTCAGGTGAAACTCAGCCTTATAAGCCCTGCCTCCACCTGGACAAACAGGTTAGTCACATGCAAAAGAGGGCCATCGCCTAACAATAGGCTTGATTGGCTCTATTGTTCATAGAGGGTCATGTGCCCCATCACCTGACCCGTGTCGTGTTATATGAATGTAGTGAATGCAAACGGGGGTTCAACATCCCCTTGTTTTAGTCCCTCTCTCCCTCTTTGTGTTGATATCATTGGGGCCCTGATTCACACCATTTTGCTCACAGGGGGCTGAGTCATACTTGCAATAACAGCATTGTAGGAGGAGGACAACTGGACACGAAGGCCTCCACCTCTGTTTAATGGTGGACGGTTTTAGTCAAGCCTGTTTGTCCAGGTGGAGGCAGTGCTTATAAGGCTGAGTTTCACCTGAAACTCAGACTGAAGAAGTCTCTTGGAGGAGAGACGAAACGTTTCACTAAAGAAGAACCCATCCAGAGGACCTACTTATTTTTTCTTTTTGATTTTTTCTACCTGGATTACTGAGATACATCAGGACAATAAAAAAGGAACTTACAGCAACTTTCCCACCCTGATGTGAGCCACCAGACTCAAACATGTCCTCCCAGCTGTTGCCGTGGTGACAACAGAAACATTTCTCAGCATCATAGCCGTTGTTGAGCAGCAGCCTGAGCATCACCTCGTCGTTCAGGCAGTACTGCAGAGCCGTCGGAAACACCGTGTCAGTCACCACAGGGAAGCAGCAGTTCACGTCTGCTCCAGCTGCCAGCAGCAGCTTCACAATCTCATAACGGCCGCCCCGGACCGCCACCAGGAGGCAGTGCAGGGGGTCCAGGTCTGGTTGTGCCCCCATCCTCAGCAGGAGCTCAGTACATGTGGCGTCTCCATTGGAAACAGCAAAGTAGAGAGAGCTTTTCCTCAAGTCTCCGTAGTTTTCTGACATGTGAGGCGCTAGCAGAGCGTTGGCGTCGAAGCCTTTGTGCAGCAGAAGCTCAAGGCACTGGACGTGGCCTCCGTCTGCTGCAGAGTGGACCGGGCTCTGACCAGACAGCCGCAGGGCTCTCCGAGTGGTGATGGGGATCAGAATCCTGAGAGCTCTGTCGGAGACAAACACCAGGTCACCTTCCGTCTCACCTGAGCAGCCAGGTGAGCAGGAAGTGAAGCCGATGCCACTCACAGGTAGTGTCCTTCAAACGCAGCTCGGTGGATGGGCAGCTGGGAGCTCAGGTTAGGGATGTTGGGATTGGCTCCATGTTGCAGCAGGATGTGGATACAGTCTGGATTCCCTGCTCCAGCAGCGTCGTACAGGACACTGTCCCCGTTTGGTGCTTGAGCGTTTACATCAGCTCCTGATGGAAGAGCAGGAAGTGCTTAATCAGCTGCTGTGTTCGTTCACGTGTCATCATTAACTTTATAACATTCACAACTAGAAGCACTCGGAGAGTGCAAACCTCCGCCAAGACCAGTTTCCCCCATCCTGTAATAGAGTTACAAAGGGGCACACCAATACTACAGTGCCACCTGCTGGACACTTTGAAKCCCACGCCCTGTGAAAGCATCACAGCTTTGCCGATCTCAGAGTGTTAAAAGAAAAAAAATTCCTGTATCCGCATCGTGATTCAGAACATCACCTAAATTTAATGGTGTGTTCCTTGGCCCACCCACATGTGGTAAAAATGCATGACAATCCATCCACAAGTTTTTTAGTAATATTGTCCACAGACAGACGGACAGACAGACGGACAGACAGACATACACGACCGAAAACATTACCTCGCATTGGCGGAGGTAACAACAAATAGCATTTATCCCAAGATTATGAGTTGATTTCTCAATGGTTTTCTTGAGATAATGAGTTATAGTGTTCCTCTTGTTGTGCATCATTCTGTAATCATGAAGACAGCCTGGTCCCCTCAGCTGGTCACTGATGAAGTTTATTATATCAGCAGGATCACTGGAGTGAAAACACCCGTTGAGCTGCAGTCAGGCCAGCTCCTTATATAACCAGTGCTGCTATGAATGTTATCTGTAGACAAACTGCAATTTCAGCCTGTGTTATGATGGTGAAACTTCGTCGATGACCAACTGAGGGGGCCAGGCTGTCTTCATGGTTACAGAATGATGCACAAGAGAAAAACCATAATTTGTTCTTGCGAGAAAACCATGGAAAACAATTATATGATTATTAATGTCCACTCTTGGGCTTCTGTGTGTATTATTAGCACAAAAAGTCAGTAAATTAGTGTTTGGCAAATGATTTCTTTGTTGTAACAATGCTTCTTGACAATGAATCTTGGAAAGCCTGTTAATTTCCCCTTTAAATGCTGCCACATTTGTAAGGAACATGCATCTGTGAGGTGAGCACACTCAGCTCACAATATTGCCAAATCTTCTCTGGCAATCAGTTTATTTTGTTGTTGTTATTGTTGTTGTTACTATTGACTCTTGTTTTGAGCTTCTGGTACCTCCAAGTGCTGCCAATCAGGTGCAGATATAAGATTTAATATCAAGAAGCATTTGTCATAACAAAGAAATCATATACCAAACACTAATTTACTGACTTTTAGAGCTAAACACAAAGATGTGACAACCTGAATGTTTTCGACAAGAACAGCCGAAGTCATCCTGATTTTTCAGTATTAGAAAAGATGGACCTCTCTAATCCAGCTTATATTATACACGTTGGCAAAGCAACAGATTTCTCATTTAGCTGTATTAACTTAGCCAGCAATCCAGTTCAATTTCTTTCTTTCGGCTGGGTTTGGGGGGACAGGAAAGAGACACGGACAAACACAGAAGGTTTATTGCAAGAAAGTTAAGTTCTTTTAACCAGGGTGCAGATGATGCAGGCCATGCCCCCAACAAGGTAGATAAAATATTAGGAGAGATGTCCAGAAAGCAAATTTTAAAATGTTTTGATGGGTGACTTGAGTACTCGGCTGTCCTCTAAAAAAAAAAAAAATTCCATCTGAGACATTTTGATGGTTCTACGTCCATTTAAACATAAAAGCGTCCATCGCAGAGGGAAATGTCCTGCCTGCTGTAACGAAGCATCAACACAGAAATCAAACACGAGTTACTGTTGAAAGCATTTGTTCACCATATTTGATGAGGAGCTCCAGGACCTCAGGATGGTTGTACTCAGCAGCGATACCCAGAGGAGTCACGCCATGCTGGTCGGTCTCTGTGACCCGACCCCCGTTTCTCAACAAGAGCTCCATGACGTGGACACAGCCAGCTCGCGCTGCTTCATGGACGGCCGTCCACTGCTTTAAACACACCTGATCCACTTCAGCTCCTCCAGCGAGGAGAGTGGAGACCATCTGATGAGATCCAGCTCTGACAGCTGCAGACACGAGGAGCAGGACTTTATTTCATTTCAACTGGGAACACAATCTAAAAAGAGAATAAAAAACAGCCCTTCTTATGCATACTTTACTTTTTATGAACAAAAATACAGTATGTTGATGAGAATAATAAAAGATAGTTTACAATAAAATAAATCATAACAAAAAACAAGATAAACAACACATCAAACAGAAGCTCAGTTTGAAGTTTGTTTGAACTTTTTGTGTTTTCTTTCCTAGACTCCGAATTTTTGTAAAAAAACAACAATTTCCTCAAGTCAGTTTCGCAAATATTTACAGGTTCTATTTTATTT